AACTAGCAGTAACTTTGGTTATTAACAAAGTTAATTGGGTAAGTAACAAGGCTGATACTTCTTTTCCAAAAACTAGGGAGTTGAGCAGCCAGTTTTGAATAAATGATAAAATGTATCTGCAGCAGGTTATGACCAGAGAGCCGTTTTCTCAGGTTGTAACAGCTCTAGGAACAGCAAACTGTAAAGACCAGTACTCTAACTGGAATGGAGAAACATTTCCATTTGGAAAGGGGCTAATTTGCCAACTGGTAATACATGTAGTGTGTATGTTTTGTCCCTAGGAGCACGACAGCTATATTGAGATTTAACAGCCATTCGTTTTTATTTTGCAGTGTCTTTAGGTCCCTACTTCATTTTAGAAGTGTATATTAGAATAATAAATATTAAATCATTTTCTTTTTCAAAGACGATGTATGTAAATTCTCAATATTGTTATTTTTTGACAATTATCATCCTTGAGATTATGTTTAGGTAGGCTGAAAATACACATTTTATCTAATGCAGAACCATTTTACGCAAGTGGAATGACATGCACTTAGCCAAAGAGTCTTTTGAATACTCTAAAAAAATAGTTTTCATTTTCTATGTAGCTAAAGTAACTTCTACTTAATAAGAAAACTGCTATTCCTCAACAGGTATGTCTAGCAAATATAATTTCAAAGGGATATAAATTTTAAATATAAATTCAAAGATAATTTCAAAGACTGGAGTTTCAGTAGATTTAACCTAAATTCATCTGCAAGAAAGCTTTGTAGCCCATAAACTGTAATAATTTAATAAGTGTTTGCATGAAGTCCCATATGTAGTGACTTTTGTCAAAGTCAAAATAAATTTTAACTTATATATAGATGTAAAATAGATATAAACTGTATTTTCCTTTGTTTTCACGGCAAACGTCTTGGTGCCTCCATTACCTGTTGCCTGGATTAATGCACTAGCCTCTAAATGAACCTACCTACTTCTCTCTCCTGCCTTAAGTCCTTGAAAACAACAGCTAGAGTAAGAATTTTAAAACACTATCATGGGACTTCGTGTCTTTACCAGAGACTCTCCGGCGAGTCCTTCTCTCGTCTCAGAGACAAGCCGAAGACTGTGGAGACTCACTCTGCAGAGTCTGTTTCTCCTCTGCTTACCCTCCAACGACTGCCCCATAGTCCCTCACTTATTTGTCTCACTTCTCATCTACTCGCACCACACACACTCCGGTCATAAGGATTTTGGTTGTGTTTTTCACACAACCACACAGTGGGCTGCCTCCCTGAGGCGTCTGCCTGGCTTCCTCCTCACTGCGGAGTCTTGGCTCATATGCCCTCTTCTCGTGCCAGTCAGACGCCTTCCAAGCCACCCGGCAGCAACGCCCTCCCAACAGCCCCAGGTGCCCTGCTTTGCTTTTTTCTTCTCCACTGCACTTACTACCATCTTGTGTACTATCTCCTTTACTGATTTATTTTTTCATGTCTTTCTCTGCCCATAAGACTAGAAACCCAGTAGGAAGCTCACTGTTGTTTCCATGAAAACCACGTCTGACACAGAATTGTGTCCAATAAATATTTCTTGGATGAATGAATTTTCTTTCAGAAACAATTCCTTTTTTTAATTTTTCACGAAGTGGAACATCCCCCACACCTGACCTAGTAAAATGATTCTTTTAACTAGCATCCATTTTGCATATAAAAGGACTATGACAGTGTAGACAAGGAAGTCATCTCCATATCAGCAAACAAAGAATCCTGGGCCGTCAAGCCACCAGCCCCTGCAGCTGCCCTGGACTGTGTGCCCTGAGGGTATTCACACAGGAAAGAACGGGACACTGGCCCTAACAGTATTTCAGTGAGCCCAGACTCCTGTATCTTCCCATACATAGAAATGCATTAAATTCATTAACTTCAGATGTCTTGTGTTCTTTAATTAACAGTAATATTTTGATGTTCCAACTACCTGGTTTTTGTTGCAAAAACTCCTATATATCCTGGCTCCTCCCTTACCTCTCTGGAGCAGTCCCTCAGAATGATCTGAGAGGGTGTCTACGGTGTGTCCACCAAATAAAACATAATTCTCAGCTTTAAGGTCATGCATTTTTTCCAGTCTACAATAGAATTCAGCTATTGATGTTAGTATTAACTCACATAAAAGCTTACCATTCAAGTGTCTACTACTTCTTCAGTCATTTTTATTCTAAAGCTGATATTTGCAAGGTATTATGAAATACACATAATATCTACCTTCAAGAGATAATATTACAATTGAGAGGAACCAATTAAGATTCAAGGGTCTATATAGTGCTTTGAAAGGTGGGTAGAATTTGGATGGATGAAGAGGAGCAGCAGAGGCAAAGATGCAGAAGCTATAGCGGTCTGACGCCCTTGGTGGCTGTGAAGGGACTGTCCCTGCTGGGACAGGGCGTGCCCCGTGGTGTTTTCAGGCCAGCGATGAAGGACAGGGCGTGCCCCGTGGGGTTGTCAGGCCAGGAGTGAGGGTCAGGGTGTGCCTCATGGGGTTGTTAGACGAGCAGCGAGGGACAAGACGTGCCCCGGGGGGTTGTTAAACCAGGAGTGAGGGACAAGACGTGCCCCAGGGGGTTGTTAAACCAGGAGTGAGGGACAAGACGTGCCCCGGGGGGTTGTTAAACCAGGAGTGAGGGACAGGGCGTGCCCCGGGGGGTTGTCAGGCCAGGAGTGAGGGTCAGGGTGTGCCCCATGAGGTTGTTAGACCAGCGGTGAGGGGCGGGGTGGCGGTGTTCAGGTGTCTGGCCAGCCCAGGAAGCGCAGTGACCGCTGTGTCGCATGTTTCACCGGGTCCTGTGTGCTGACAGGGGGCTGTGCGAAGTTAGCGGATGCAGTTTCCTGTCATGCTAGTTCTACCAGTAAAGAAAAATTCAGATAACTGAGCCGTAATGTTAGCTATCTTGGCAGCAACTTGACTGAAGTATGATGCGAGATTTCTTGAATTCCTAAGAGAGTAGCATTGACGTGGATACACCACCATGTGTAAAACAGCTAATGGGAGGCTGCCCTATAGCACAGGGAGCTCAGCCTGCTGCTCTGTGATGATCTGGAGGTGTGGATGGGGCGGGGAGGCTCAAGGGGGAGAGAACATACGTATACATGTGACTGATTCACGTTGTTGTGCGGCAGAAACCAGCTCAACATTGGAAAGCAGTTATCCTCCAGTTAAAGCTTGTTTTTCTTGAATTCTTAAGTTCAGAATTTCCAAATAAGTTTTAGATTAGCACGTGCTTCCTCTCAGTTCATTTTCAGACACTGAGAGACACAGATATCCTCTCTCTTTGGTATACTTGAGAGAAAAGTGTGATACCAGGGAAGTTCAGGAGTCTTTCCAGGCTGCTGACAGAGGAGAGTTTCTATAACATTCACACTTTATATCATTCTACTGCCTTTCCTAGCCCTGATACTTTCATTCTCATTACATGGTAGCAACCTTTACTTTTACTCTTCTGTTTTATAAGCTGTGGTTTTATAACAGACAACACCTCATATTCTAGAAAGCAGAAGCACTCAAGGAAAGATTCAATAGTGGCACTACTTAAAAGGCAAAGGCATATTTTATTCATGAAATTTCTTATCTCCTTTTCAGTGGAAGTAAACCTGCATGATTTTCTTTATTGTTCTCACAGAAGAAAGAAAAGAACCACAATTCCCTTTCTTAACACAGGCACAATGACTTGTTAATTAACATAATAAACCCTATCTCCTATATTTACTTAGTAATCTAAGGGAAATCGGAGCTTTTTTTTTTTAAAGGAGGTTTTAAGGTCTACAAGACTGTAATTTGTTTTGTTGGTAAGAAAAGAGTATTCCTATTACAAAATGCTGTGAAAGATCAAAAGTACAACTAAAATTTACATCTCAGCCTTGTATCTGTATACAGTTTAGTGGGGAGGGAAGATGTTTACATGAGTAACACCTTAGAAATCCATAGAAAGCTTCTGACCTGTTAATAAAATTATTGAATCTTTAAGTCAGAAATAGCTTCAGACTTACTCCAGTTGAACCCCCTACACACCCTGAGAACTTTCCCAGCCTTTCTAGTAGCAATTACAAATTATGTGTGGGGAACAGTTTGCAGGCAGTTTGTTCCATTTGATTAAACTCTTGTTCCTCATAAAGATGTGAGATAGTTTTAATATAATCCACTTCCCTTTGTCCTACTTCTGACTTGAGTGGACATAACATTCTGAGCCAGAAGCCATGGACCCAATGCTGCCTATTCAGATGGGAGGAGATGTGTGTATGATTCCTAGGAAGTCTTTTCTGGATTAAACATCTTTTCTTTCAGCAGTCCTTCATAGGACAAACTTTCTTGGTGGCTCACTGAATTGATCATTTTCTTAAGGTACTTGTGCCAAAGAGTCCTCTCTAAAGAGCAGTTCAGTGTATGATGGGGCTATTGCTATTAATACAGTTTGATAAATTCTTTTTAGAATAAGAGAAAGAATTAGGTACAATTTTTTTGTTTTCTTTTGTTAGTTTCATATCTTTTTTATATGTTCTAACCTTTGCATTGTTCTTTTATACATTAATATTCCTACAATGTTTAGGAATGCGCTGATGGTCCTTTATGTAAGACTTACAGGCAGGAGATTTATACATATTTTACTAATGTACAGGCCACTACATTTTCCTGAAACTCAATACGTAAGTACATTCAGTTAAAAGTATTAGTAGTTTTTTCAAATTGTTTGCACCATTTCTACTATTTAAAAAGATGCATATATAGAATACATTTTGTTTATTTCAGTGTCTTCACTTTAAATTTTACTACAAATGAGAACTTATTGCGACTGCCCTCAGTAAAATTAATAAAACAATTGGTCATTTTCTCTTTACAGATTGTTCAGTTCAAGGGAATGAAGAATTCAGAATAATTTTGATAAGTGGATTTTAATATAGAGAATAAAAATAAGTTGAGTCTTTGACCTGCTTTGAAGAAACATACTGTCCATTTGTCTAAAGTCATCTGTAACAGCCAAACCAGTCAAAATGAATTCAACATCATTTTCTCAGGTGGAAAATCATTCAATCTATTATAATTTTTCAGAGAAGAATTCCCGGTTTTTGGCTTTTGAAAATGATGATTGTCATCTGCCCTTGGCCATGATATTCACGTTAGCACTTGCTTATGGAGCTGTGATCATTCTTGGGGTCTCTGGAAACCTGGCTTTGATCATCATCATCTTGAAACAAAAAGAGATGAGAAATGTCACCAACATCCTGATTGTGAACCTTTCCTTCTCAGACTTGCTTGTGGCCATCATGTGTCTTCCCTTCACGTTTGTCTACACGCTGATGGACCACTGGGTTTTTGGTGAGGCAATGTGCAAGTTGAACCCCTTTGTGCAGTGTGTTTCCATCACCGTGTCCATCTTCTCTCTGGTCCTTATTGCTGTGGAACGGCATCAGCTGATTATCAATCCTCGGGGTTGGAGACCAAGTAATAGACATGCATACGTAGGTATTGCTGTCATCTGGGTCCTTGCTGTGGCTTCTTCTCTGCCCTTCCTGATCTATCAAGTATTGACAGATGAGCCATTCCAAAATGTGACCCTTGATGCATTCAAGGACAAATACGTCTGCTTTGATAAATTTCCATCAGACTCTCACCGGCTGTCTTACACCACTCTCCTCTTGGTGCTGCAGTACTTTGGCCCACTCTGTTTTATATTTATTTGCTACTTCAAGGTAGGAAAACCCTTTCCCCTACCATTTTCATTTTTACCTTCTTTCCGCAGGAGTACTCATTCTATGAATGGTTCTATTTGAATTCTTTGTTTTTTCCCTCCTGTAGATATACGTACGCTTAAAAAGAAGGAACAGCATGATGGATAAGATGAGAGACAATAAGTACAGGTCCAGTGAAGCCAAAAGAATCAACATCATGCTGCTGTCCATCGTGGTGGCGTTTGCTGTCTGCTGGCTGCCTCTCACCATCTTCAACACTGTGTTTGACTGGAACCATCAGATCATTGCTACCTGCAACCATAATCTGTTGTTCCTTCTCTGCCACCTCACAGCCATGATCTCCACTTGTGTCAACCCCATATTTTATGGCTTCCTGAACAAAAATTTCCAGAGAGACCTGCAGTTCTTCTTTAACTTTTGTGATTTCCGGTCTCGGGATGACGACTATGAGACCATCGCCATGTCCACCATGCACACAGATGTTTCTAAGACATCTCTGAAGCAAGCAAGCCCAGTCGCACTTAAGAAGATCCACACTGATGATAATGAAAAAATCTGAACCTGCCATAGCATTTGGTCCCAAATGATTGATATCTGCTTAAAAACAAGCACAACACTAATGGACTTTGATTACCTGTTCTCTTTCGGAATGAGATTGAAATTATTTAAGAAGGCCAAGATTTTCTTGTGTTGCTTTTTACTGCTTTTGTAGTAGCTGTCATAATTATATCTGGAACAAAATGTGTGGGCTTTAGAATCTTTTGGCAATAGCTTTGACCAGACATCTTTGAAGTGCTTTTTTGTGAACTTATGCATAGAGTAGAAAGGCTTTTATATTGTATTTATTAGAAAGAAATTTCTTTAATATGTTTGTATAAACTGACTTTAGAAGCACTGTACCTGATGTTCTCTCTCCACTGAGCCACTGGCTCGATGAGATTGCTGATAGATCGGACAATCCTGCTTAGATGAGATTGTCAATAGATTGGGCAGTCCTGTGTAGGATACACATCCCTTCAGCCTGTTACAGATGACAGCTTGCAAAAGCAGCATTCAAGATGTGAATGCCTAGTCTGATGTCGTTCAGAAGTGACTTGCATTTTTTTTGAAATTTTAAGACAGGATTTAGTTTGCTCCTAATTGATTATCACTTCAGATGAAAAAATGCATTTAAAAATACTCAGTGGTGAATATCATGGGTAGTTGGGTCAGCCACAAGAATTAAGTGGGAAACCAGTTTCTTAACCTCAAAACTATTTTGGTTCCTGACAACCAAAGGATTTTAGAGCTTAACAAGTAAATTAGTATTGCTGCATAGAGTTGGAATATATTTGTTTGAATGAGTAGTCAAGAGGCTTCCGTTCTTCATGGACTGTTCAGTGTTTGTCAAGCTTTCTGGCATAAATAAATATATATGTAACTTAAAAGCATTTATTTCCAGTTTATAATATAAATGACCACCAAGTGTATTTTCTATACATCAGTGCCTACATAGTTACTCATTTTTAATGTTCAATGGCCATATTTAAAAGGGCATCATGGTGTACAGTGTTGAAAGATTGTCCATCCTGCCGGGAAGGGGTAAATACCAGAAAACTGAGGCCACTTCCTGTAGCTTATGTTAACTTCTGTAAACTGTGTGCCTTGCGGAGTCTTATCAATCAGGCACTGTGTACCAAGGCTTTTTGTCACATAAATATATTGATACTTCATTTCATGTACCCTGTAAGCATGATTGAGCCTCAGAATCATTGGGAGGAGAGGTGTTTAAAAAAATAAGCGTATCTTTGATGTATTATACAAAATATTAAATGTCTCCGATTTTAGAAGGGCAGACATTTTCTTTACTAAAATTGTTTCTGCGTTTTCTGAATAGCCTCCTTTGTGTCTCCCTTTAGCTTCATTTCTTTTTCTTTTTTGATCCCTTGTCTTCCCTCCTGTGAAGCATCCTCTATCTGCTTTTGCCAATAAAGCATTTTTTACCTTGTGGTATAACCCTTGGTGGTCCAGCCTCTCTCCCTGGCTTCCTGAAGCTTACTGAAGACAGTGACTGTTTTTATATGACTCTGAGTCCCAGTGTATTTAGCAAAGTGCAAGCAAGTACACAGAAGGTTTTTAAAAATTTTTCTGAGAAATGAATAAATAATGCTCCAAATCCTTCTTTCTCATTTATTATTGAATTGACTTTAACATGCTGAAATTTTATTGGACTCCTCCTAAGTTCATTTTTACCACGGAAGTGTTTTCTCTTTTATTATTATCATTTTCCTTTCTAAACTAACCAAAATGACATTTTAGAAACTTGCATGATTTGTCTTGTAAGACAAACATCAGCATTTTCATTGAATGTTAATATAATTATATATTATATAATATTTATATAATATATAATTATATAATGTAAAATATAAATATAGCCAAAGAATGACTTTTAGTTAACTGAAAAAAAAAAATCCTAAAACCATCATTTAATGCATAATGAAAAGTATCATCTTTCCTTACCAAAACCTGGAATTTGAAACTAACTGGTGTTTTCTGCTTTGGGGTACAAATGGGAGATTTTGTCTTTGTCTACTTAGGTGCTATGGAAACAAATAGCTGCTTGAGACAGCCTGAATATGCAGGTGCTTTTTCGTTAGCACATTTGCTGAGATGCCATTTCTAGAATCTTCATTTAGCTATATCGGCTGCTCATTCTTTAGCTTTTCATAAATAATGAACTAAATACCAAATTCTTCTCTTTCATCCAAAGATGTCCATGAGCTAGCAGTAAAGTCTAGAATCAACCACAGATCCATTGTGATTCAAGAAGAAATAAACATTCACATTAAATACAAAGCATTGAGTTTTCTTAAACTCAAGAACAAAAATCAATTGCTGGTTTAGTATAAGAACATAATTATAATGTAGCTTATAAAAATAGGAAGAAAATTATCATAACGAGGGTTTCAAACACTTAGCCTAAGCAACTGGTATATCAAGTACTTAAGTACCTGTGAGGTTGTGTGACTGGTGTGACCACTTCACAGAAGAGGCAACCGAAGCTCAAGTTGAAATATTTGAACCTCACCCACTGAGCAGCAGGTGCAGCAGGAACCAGACTAAGGTCTGGCCAGTGCTATCAAACCCGTCAATGTGCTGAACCTATGATAGACTTTTAGGAAGTGATTTCTCTTTCCCTCCTTACAAGCAACATTATTAAGGCATAACAATATCATTCACCTTCTTTCTTATTTCAGTTGCAGAAATGACTGACATGGAAGAGAGAAGAGAATATGGCCATGATGATTATTTGTATCCAGAATTCCCTTCTGAGAGAATTCCATTTAAAATAGAACTGGGTTATTCATACCACCTTTATTTCTTTACTGTTGACTGGATATTGTCATTCCCTTCTCTACTCCACAAATTTCCAAGGATATATACATGCATGTACATTTTACCATACCTTCAAAATTTTATAGCCAAGTAAACATTTATTTTGACAAAGTATTTTTCCATGAACAGTAAAAGTGTCAGAAAGAAGTAAATTTAAGCTGGGGTCCCAGGGAAACTGGCCTTGTTCAGTGAGTTTAGAGGTAGTGCTAGGCCTTTTTTTTTTTACAGCCAGGATTACTTTTCTCAGTAATCAGAGATTCTCCTGGAATGTAGTTTCTCAGTGAAGCATGAATTCTTTCACAGTCTCCCTATTTTCTTCATCTACTTATCCCTGTGGTCCATCAAACAACACATTACACGTAAGACTTGGAGCCCAAGAGAGTGAGAGTGTAGCTTTCTAGGGCAAATGGATTAGATTTCTCAAGTTTCATTTAATGATTCCTTTATTAATATATTTGTATGTGTGTACATGCAACACATTGTATGGATATGAATATATATATTAAACATAAATTTCTACAATGGGCTTATTTTCATTGCTATTTTTAAATTTCTAATAAAAATGATCACATACATAGCACTTATCACAAATCATTCTATAAAGTACCACTAATGCTTTCCTCACATATCTGAAGATAAAACTGAGGCATGGAGATGCTATGTAACTCATCAATGTTGCTCAGCTGGTAAATGACAGCCAGGATTCTAACCTCGGCAACTTGGCTTCTGACAATGAGCCCTTGATCTACACTGAGGACGTTTCCCACATGCCAGATTCTGCGTGATTCCCCCACCTCTACATCCATTATCTTTCCATTCCTGACCTGTATCTCTAGTCTGCACTGACCCTAATCCTAAACAACATCAGAAAGGTAAAAGTTAGATATTTTCAAAGCCATCCTCTGAGAGCTAATACAAATTCCTAATTATGGTGATTCAAGCCCAGCTGCAGAGCTGACACAGATCTCCCTTACCCAAGAATTATCAGTACAAACCTTCTTTCATTTTCTCCAGGTATTGCTCTCCTCTGCCCTCCTGAACTATACACCCCCTAGTCTTTCTGGTCTCCCGGCTTGAGTCATCTTCTAGGATCATTTTATCAACAAGCAGGCCGAGTTGAAATTCAGCCTGACATCATCATATAGGGTCTCATGAGTGGAGTCTTGTTAGAAGGACTGTACCTACATGACTCCTTAATCTTGGATCTTGCCTCGGAGAGAATGTGAAGAACCGTCAATTAAAATCATTGACCAAGGGTGAACAGCATTTCATTAAACCTGTTTTTTTTTAAATAAAATCTTCAATATTTTATACTGAAGCAGTTTTTTGATGGAACTTTACAACTGCTCCTTCACTAAGCAGAATTACATTATGAACTGTGACTTTTGACATATTTTTAGAGCAATTATATTTTATTATACTTTTATTCTTTTGTCAAAAGTAGCCTTGCCTAAAGTTCTGTTTGTTTTAGCATCAGAAATGAAAACTGTGAGGGTCATTTTGATTTCTGGGCAATCTTTCTCTTTATTGTTTATTGAGATATCATTGGCATACTATAAAATTAACTATTTAGAAGTACTTTCCAGTGGTCTTTTCTATATTCACAGAGTTGTGCAATCAATATCACTATATGATTCCAGTTTTTGTTCATCACTTCAAAAAGAAACCTTAACTTCTGGTCTCCAGTCTGGCAAGTAAGAAGCTTAAAAGTTGTCACCTCGTCCTAAGAAGTAAAAAACCAAGTAAACTGAAAACCAGAAATTCTCTTTAGATCCATCAGAGAAGTGAGGTCACTGAACAGACTGCTGGACCTAAATTGAAGAGACAAGCAGATGCAGAGAATCACAAATTACTGGAGAAGAAACTTCTATGGAAGCAGTACTGGGGCAAAAAAACTTGAACTCTAATGGAGACTTAGAGTGGACAGGCTTCCCTAGTAGTGGACAGGGCTCAGCTGGTAAAGAATCTGCCTGCAATGTGGGAGACCTGGGTCCAATCCCAGGGTTGGGAAGATCCCCTGGAGAAGGGAACGGCTACCCACTCCAGTATTCTGGCCTGGAGAATTACATGGGCTGTATAGTGCATGGGGTCCCAGAGTCAGACACGACTGAGAAACTTTCACTTTAGATTGGACAAGTCTGAGGGTTAAAAACTCCAGTCATCTGGGAGGGGAGAGGTATG